CAATTGAAACTATCAGTTCTCAGAGGGACTTGAAGAAAGTTGCATAATTATTGCCAACCTTAAGATGAATTGGTTGAGAGCTACTATCAAACCAATTATTTTTTAAACTTATCAGGTGTTTCATGGTGGAGGCATGTCAATTAGTGCTTGGATGTTAACTCTGTTGGCTTTTATGCCTTTGAGAGTTAGAAGGCCACCTAAGGACTTGTCGGTTGAAGCTCTAAATGTGCATTTTAAAGGATTTAATTACATATCATATTTTCTTAAGGTTTGGAAGGTTTCCTTTATTTTTTTTTTTTTGTCATTCGAATTTTCACAATGATATCATTGACAAAGACTTCAATGTTTTTCTCTTTTGAATGTTAAGGATTACATCCATTAAATGTTGGTATGTTGCCCCCACATTTTAATCCCACAGAGCATTGCATTAAAACAAAAAACTCCTTTAACAGTAATAAAGGATGTCTTCTCTGCATCAGTTAGGTGAATCTTTATCTAGTGGTAGGCATAGAAAGCATCCAAGAAACTCATCATGGAATGACCCAAAATTGTATCCACCAGGACATTAATTTTCGGCAAGTGGTAGCATTTTTTTTTTTGGGTAGACAACATTTAATTTTGTGAAGTACACACACATCCACCTTTCTTCGTTATCCTTCTGGACCATGAAGACGTTTAAGACCTAGGTTGGGTATTGAACCTTCGTAATTTATTTTTCCTCCTTCAACTTCAAAACAACCTGATAGGTCCAACCAATATTTTTTTTGAGTTTTTTATCTTCTTTTTGATAGGCCGGATGGTGGATCTCACTTTAGTTCATGATAAGTGATCTCAATCAGTATCTCTGCATCTCTGCAGCAGACTATGTAAAGGCATAAAGGTAGTCCCGAAGCGTTTGAATCACTAGCTTCTTACATTCTTCAACAAAATTATCACTTACCATAATATAATTACTGGGTCTATTATCCGATACAAGAATCTCCAGGGTTGTCTTGTTGGTCTTGAGGCCTTCTTCCCTCCATTTGTATAGCTTAAGCTGCTTCTAGTCCATGCTTCCTACTGCTCAAAGGTAGCAAATTCGTGACTGCTCTAAGTCTCCTCCGATAGTGATTACCTCCTCATTTCCCAGGAACTTAACTGCAGCATGGAAGTTGGATCCCACGTTTGAAGTAATTCAGTAATGGGCAGTTGAAGATGACATTGTAGGTTGCAGGGTAGTCGACTATCAAAAATCTTCTCTCTTCATGAATTGCTTCTCCCCTTCTCCCTATTGACTGCCAGTGTCATTAACCCCAACACCTCCTTCCTCTCACCTAGAAAATGATACAATGGGTAGGCTAGTGCTACTAGTTGGTCAGTGTGTTCACAGAGCTATCAGTGTCGATGAGAATACTTCAAACTTGGAAGTTTCTTATTATCCTTGTTGCAACTATAGCTATGTTGTAAGGGTTTCCTCGTTGGAGAAGGTCATCATCCATGAATGTGATGGGAGGGGAGCTCCCTCTGCTCTGCACGACTATGAGATTGCACAGCTCCTAGGTCCTGGTCCACTTCTACGAGTTCTACTATGAAAAATTTGTTCATCATAGAATGGTTGGGACTATACCGGCCATGTGAACGACAATCATCTAGATGGGTCCTCGAGAAGCCTCTATTACTAGGGCCTTTCCATTCTTCTGACTTAGTTGTCCTTGGGCTACAAACTCATTTGGCTTCTTTGCCTTGATCAATTCCTCAATGAGGTTCTGGAGGTGCCTGCATTCGTCCGTTTCATGGTTGTTATCCGATGGTACTTACAATGCTTCTTCACATCTCGGAGAATGCTCTGGCCTCATTGGTGTGGCTTACTTAATGCATTCCTTTTCTTGGTTAGCATCTACAAACTTTTCCATTGATAACCTCAATAGGGTAAACTGTGTGTCTCTAAACTCACTGTACAGCTCCTCATAAAGCTATGTCGACCTCTCATAATATCAAGCAGGCCACGGGCAACGATTCCTCATCAAATTTTTCTAATGGTCAAACTGATTGAATCTTCTATTACTGCGAGAGGATTGGCCTTCTTCAACTGACGCCTGACAGGTGATCAGTGGTCTTCCCTCGGCTTTGACCCACCACTCAATGGAGCCCTTTTTGGGGCTTGACATTTTGTTGGCTCCGGTCTAGGAGTAATCTCCTCGGCGAGCATGTACTTGTTGGTTATGTCCAGCAACTCCGCTAAACCCTTAGTTTCTTGTAGGCTAGGGTAAAAACAAAATCTTTCTGACTTCAGGCTCTACTTCAAGGTTTGTTGTTTGTTCAACAGTCCTTTACCTCCAGCATTTCCTTCTAGAAATGAAGGATATAAGAGTGCGGGCTTCATTTGGCTCCTACATCATCTATCACAATGCCCACAACCTCTTTTTTGGTGCTTGGGTACTCACAAAATGTGCTAAGAATAGCTTTTGGAGGTCCTAAAAGCTGCTGATGTTTCTGGCGATAGCGAGTGGAACCACTTCAACGATGATGACATTAGAGTGGTAAAGAACAAACGACACTTGAACACATTTGAGATCTTCAGTAGGCACATTGTCGATTCAGGTGAGGCAATGTAGGCATTAAGATCTAATCACCCCCAATAGGCATTCAACATTTGAAGCTTAAACTTCTTTGGGGTTCAGCTTTAAAGACGTGAAGGAAGAAATGATTCTTCAGTTGTCGTGTTGTTTTGGTGCACCTAAGTATTATTTCTCCACTTGCCTGAATATCACGTTATCCTGATACTACAAGTCATTCATTGTTCATTCTTCTATTGTTGTACACCGGTGTGACCTTCTGAGGTAAGTTTTGATCTTGGGGGACTCAACTTCACGCTAGGGTTGCGAAAGCCCTTAAGACCTCTGCTATATGACCTGACACATGCTCCATGATCTAAGTCCTTGTCTCCTGCATACATTATTGCATGTGTTCCTCTATGTCCTCGTGCGAGTTCTACATTGCTATTTCTCTCTAACTACTCTCTTATCTCTATGATTGATGCTCCTCTTTTTATCAGCAACATGACTCCACACTCACCACACATTTTAGGATGTTGAATAAAAAATTATCTGGGAGACACGTCTAAGGAATAGAGCACTAAAGAGAGAGAGAGAGAGAGAGAGAGAGAGAGAGAGAGAGTGAGCAAGGAGATCAAAAACACATTATAGAATAGTAAATTTACGTAACATTTATTCATGAAATGGACCCCTATTTATAGGGATGGGAGAATGTATAATTACACATTGTACCTATAGTATATGTTGATACAACGAGGGTATTTTAGTCCATACAAGAATATTAAGTCGAGAGCCTTCAAGATTTCCAACCGAACAAAGCCGAAACCCTAAAAGTTCTCGGGCAAACTGGGCCTATAAGCCCCCAGTCAGATAATGTCAGGTAGGTTCCCAGCCAGACAATGTTGGGTATGCTCACAGCCAGACAGGGTCGGAACCATGGTAAGTTGTCTGGGACAGAGTTGGGTGCCTCGGTCGACCTTCCGCCTTGCTTCATTTTTTGGTCGGGTGGTTATTTAATGGGGCGCGGTGTAAACTATCAATTTGACTATTTGTTAAAAATTCACCTCTGTGCAGATTGGTCAGAAAGTTCTAGCTAGTTATTTCAAGGTCATACAGTTCGCTTTGCTCATTCTGCCAAAGTAGATAAAGGTGTCATATTTATCTGTGTGAGTCTTGTGTCGACGGGTTGATTTCTAAGAATACGATCAAATTCCATTCGTTTGGTAAATGTTTTTCTCCTGGTTTATAGGAGTCTGCCGAAGAGGCGTGAGTATCGGATTACAACTGATTGGCCCCCATGATGCCATGTTGTCTTCCTTCGCCTACCATGGGATAACCTCGAGATTTGTGCTAACACAGGCTTAATATGCATATCTCAAATCCTTAATAGCACATTAAAAATAGAACTATTTCCACTTTAAAACTGAAATACGAATTTTCATTCATATTTTAAAGCACAAAAGTGCTACTTGTGTAAATATTAATTTTTCTAGGTGTGGGATATGCACATGCAAATATGTAAATTTTAATTTTTTTAATTTTTCTAGGTGTGGGATATGCACATGCAAATAAATTGTATGCCAGCTATATAAATTTCCAACAAAAAAAATGTTATGGAAGATTTGCATACATAGCTAAATCCTAAACTTCAATAAATACTAAATACATACATACATATATACATACATACATACATACATACATACATACATACATACATACATACATATATATATATATACATACATACATACATACATATATATCTATATATA